CCAAAATCCCCATTCTAGTTCTCTAGATCTCTTTTCCATGAGAGAATTGGATTGAATCATCTTTACAATTCCTTCCAGCTCAGCTATTCAGAGTTTCTGATTCTGTGAAAAGAATACAGCATGAATCTGGTGTTTTGGTCAAGAAGCCCAATTCAAGAACCATGGGTTCTGTGGATGGTGGGATTCATTCCTGTGCATCCACCGTACAAACTACATTGGCATTTTGAGGTGGAAAGCACGATAGGAAAAAGTAGGATCTTAATTCATGGGTTTTGAAAGAATTTGCCAGTCAGCATGCAGGCACATGTGCAAGACTAAAGAACCATTTTCAGAAGAATAGGCTGCTTCGATGCATGTCTTCATGTATAATAAGTATGAATCTAAGCGGCGGCACTGGGTCCATCGCCTCACGGCTCTTACAGCCTTTTCATAGAAACAGGCTGTTTCTTTTTGAATCATGCTCACGTGTTGTTTTAGGTGCAAAGGACCAGTTTAAGCGACTGTAGTGCTGGTGATACGTGCCGTGTGTGCAACACTCAGCTTTGGGGACGGCAGGACTGTTGACAGCCTATGAGGACACTATGAAGACTTGCTGATATGTACATGTGTGTTGTGTGTGTGCATGTTGTACATGCCTCTAGGATGTGAGTAGCAGACTGCTTCTGAAGTGGGCCTGAGAGTGAGGCAGAGCAGAGAGGGAAGGAACCATGTTTCCATTGATCGTGTCACCCTGTGAGCCACTTCAGGCACTAGTTATTTAAAGCTGGTTCAACCATTGAAAAGATATAATTTAAAAATTTTGTACAATAGCTCTTAATGTGATTTTTAGAACCCAATGTAAATTCTCTGTCATCTTTTAGTAAGATCATTTTGCTTGTAGCAAGGGAGACCCTTTCAAGGCTGCTTTGACGGTTAGTAAACCAATGAGTCTCTTAATTGGCCTCATGGTCTGTTTTTTTTCATTTTCCCACATCTGAAAAAAAAATAGTATATAAGATATAATTACTTCCTAATTGGGAAAGGAGATTTTGAAGACAATAAACAATTCACATATATACCAATACATAATTATCTTTGACTTATATTGATCCTTTTATTCTGGGTTGCTTAAAATTTCTAACATTGGGTATCTTGTTTAATTTCATTACAATCTCAAAGGCAAATGCATAAGAGTGATGTATTATTGATTTTAAAGATAGAAAAGCAGAACGAGTATATCAGCAAGCTTTTTAAGACATACAAATATACTCTAGAAATACATAAAATATTTATTATTGATGAATGCTAACTGCTTTTATAAAGGAAAAGAAAAGCGTATTCTACATATTTATTATTATTGTTGCCAATCTAATTTTTAATGGCTTAAGTAGTTATCAAAAGTAGTTTTACATTATTCACTTCAAAATTTAAAATGCCTTTGGTCTAAAGCATTGAAAAGCTTTAGTAATTCCACAAAAAAACATAATCACCCTTTTTCCTGAAAAATAAATACACAAACTCAAAACTGCCATTAATAGCATTTGAAAGAAACCAAGCCATCATTTAGCTCAGAAGAAACACTTGTGAACCTGGAGGTAGTTTATCTTGTCACACACCAGACATGTTGGATTTTTTATCATTCTCGGGCTTGTGCAGTTGGTATGTGTTTGAGGAGGGAGATTTTGTGAGAATGTATGGCCAGGAGACTGCGAGTGAGGGTCAGGGCACCTGCTCTACGGATGCCTGTTTGGTGGCTTACCACACGGAGGTGCGTGACACTAGCGTGTCTAAGGCAACTGTGACCTAGAGGCTGCCCCTCTCCTTGGTCTGCTTCATCCTTCCACACCGGCTCCTGCTGCCTGCAAGACTCAATCCTGGGCATTTCTTCTGGAAAGCTCCCTGACCCAAGCCTTCCCCTCGTCATCACCCCACCATGCTGCACCACCCGAGCTGGGCATGCACCCTGTCACCCTTAGCACCTGTCCTAGATCTTCGGCCTTCCACTCTGGGCAGTGGCTCCCTCAGGGCGAGACGTTTTTAGTGTCTGTACCTCTAATGCTTAGGAAGGGGAGGAACAAAGCAGGCGATCAATAAGTGCTGTAGAACGATAAACAATTCACATCGAAATGTAGCCTGTTAATTAATGTAAATGCAAAAAGAATGACAAAAACCCTGAACTGAAGCATTATATCTCACATTTAAAAAGGAAATCTCCATAAGGTCTTCATCCTTTTCTCTCATTGCAAAGAATGAATTGACGTTTGTAATCAAGTGTTTTGGGTGCCCGGGATCCTTTCTTGCTCCCAGCTGGTCTCCCCTAAGCTTGTTTCTCCCGTTTCCCCTTCCTGGGCCTCGTGACTCTTCACCGATGACTTATTTTCTTCTGCTGAAGAATCGCTGAAGGTAAATAGTTTGGTTACCTTTGCCTGTCTCACCCGGGTAGGACCATTGGTTGATTTTTAGGTGTTAGGTAAAGGGAAGTTTCCTCTCTCAGAAATGGAGAATGAAGAGGTGTTTGAGAAAGGCTGGGCCATCCGAGAGCAGCCAGGGGAGCGCCTGGCTTCCAGGGGTCTTCGTGGTGACCTTCAGAATCGCGGAAGGGAACAAGGCACTTCAGTTCTCTAAAAGAGACTTTAAGTGCTGAACTCTCTGGAAAAGGGCTTCCAGTTGCAAAGGACTGACTCAGGGGCATTCGCTGTGGGGAGGCTCAAGACAGGGCTGGAAGTCAGACTGCAGAGCTCTCGCACTGAGCCACTGAGCCAGCCGAGGAGACCTCCTGCCTCCCTCAGCCTCCTTCTCTGGCTGTTTGCTGGCCGTCTCCCCTGGTACCTGCTGGTTTAGTCTGCAGCCTTTCGCTGTCACCCAATTGTAGCTTTTTCAGCTTGCGGGGACTCCCACACCAGAACTCTGCCCTCTCTATTCTGACCCCTTCAGGGCTTCTTTCTCATGATTTTTTCTTTATATTCTTCCGGTTGTTGTTTTCCTGAAAATTGCTTCATTCTTCCGGAATTCCCTAATGCAGATCCCAAGGAAGAACCCAGTTAGCACATCTCACCTTCCCACTGTGCTGCTTTCTGTCCTCAGATGGCTGTGTTGGAGTGGCCAGAGGCCGGACGCTCCCCTTTGGTCCAGGAGGCTGGGCAGGGCGAGGGGGCGGGCAGGGCTGGTGTGGACTGCTTTTTAGGAGGAACCATGGGAGGGCCATTTTCCTCCCATGTAGTGGCAACACGAATATTTGACGTACCTCATGGAAGTCCATATGGAAGTCTAGGAAATTAAGGATAACCAGGTCATTAAAATCAAAATGTTTCATGGGTGATAATCAGTGAACAGAAAAGACAACCATGGAAACAGCGAATTCGTGAGTGAGACAGACTGGGAGAGGGAGGTGTGTGAGAGTGGACTCTTGGACGAATGATATCGTTCCATTATTTCATGTATCTGTTTAAAAGCTAGAGTAGGGGAAGAGTGAGCGAGAACACATACTGACATGGAGTCCAGAGGCCAGCGCACAAAGCAAGCATGACTCTGGGTGGGAGGCCAAGGGTGAGAACAAATAGAAATGCCCAACTCCATAGGACATTTCTTCTGTGTGTGTGTGTCTCCTAAACTTCCCTCATCTGCCCCTGATCCTTCTCATCTGTAGCTTCTGGAATAATCTGAAGCACTTATGTGAATTTGGACTGGTTATTCCCTCTTCAACTCAGTTTACTCAACTGTAAAATAAGGATGATGCTTATCATTTCAATACCTTGTCGTAAGAGTTAAATTAGATGGGCCATATATTTAAAGTGACTGTATTACATACCAAGCCTGGTATGTCATAGGTCCTCATTCAATTGTAGCATTGTTTTAGCACATAGGAAGAAGGAAACCTTATGGAATAGTGTGTTAAGTAAATTTTCACTTGTTATTTTATTTATTCCTTACGATAATCCTAAAGCGCTTGTATTATTATTTCTATTTGATGAATGAGAATACCACATAATAATCATTGTTTGCTTTGTGCTAAGGACAGAGCTAAACTTTTTCGTACATTGTCTCGTTTAAACTGAGACAGATGCTGCTAATACCTTCATTTCCTAGTTGAGGACCCTGAGGTCTAGAGAGTGTAACTTGCCCAAGTTCACACAACTAAGGTCATAAAACTAGTAAAGGACAATCATAGCTTGAATATACGTCTGTGTAAACCCAGGTTCATCTGACTCCAAAGGTTTTGCAAAGGCACAAGTGACTCAGTCAAGGTTCAAGTCTTGTTAAGGGCTTGTTCAGTTCCCTACCAGAGGTTCATACCGATTAAATGAAGGCTCATGTTAGGCACCCACCTACAAGGAGCTGGCATCTGAATCCAAGTGACATGATGAAACAGACTAGGGCAAATTTTGGAAAGGTTAAAAAAAAAAAAACTTAATAATTTAAATATGTCAAAATAAGATTTCCGAGACCCGGAGAAGCGATTTAACAGACATGTGGTGAATATTTATTGTGTGTCAGGCAACAAAAAAATGAGCTCAGCAACGTGGGGAATGCAGATGAATGGAGTATGAATCCCTTCCTTTAAGGTACTTCCATCCTGTCGGAGGGAGAGGATCACACACGTTGTAAAGCACATAGCAATGCTCAAAGAACCACAGGAGTCAATCGTTGCAGAGGACGATTAATTTGGCAATGAAAGTTGCAGAAAATTGCTAGGCTTCACGTAGGAGATGTTTGCAAGGTCCTTGAGGGCAAATGTGGAGGAGCCATAAGTCTTCAGCTGTCTCCTTCTTCTTCAGACCAGTGGTGTTATGAAAAAGGCATTAATAGCTAACTTGATAAGAAACTAATAAAGTAAGTAACGGATATGCTGACAGGGTTTTCGAGGGTTAGGTTCTTTGAGTGAAAGTAGAGAAACATCTACTCTTACTCAGTGTAAGAATGTATCGGCCTTTTCCTAGTCTATACTTATACGGATAACTACTGAAGGAGTCAGAAAATGAGACCTCCTGTTCTATGCTTCTATCCCCAACTCTGTGTTCTAGAATTGTACAGTGTTCCAACAAGGACCCACAAATCTGTGGAGTGACCCAATGATGCCCTGCTGTCAGTTCTCATGTGTTGCTTGGTGAGTACGAAGGCACCAACAGGTAGACCGTCTATGCATCTACTCTTTGATTTGAATTTAGTCTCTAGCTGGGAAGTCCCAATTTTCCTTGTATACGATACCAGGTTTTCCGAAAAAAAATCTTTAGGGAGTCCTATTTAAGGTATTCTGTCATGTTTCCATAAGTCTACCACAACCGGTAGTCCAGGTGTTGTGGTTGTTGTTTAAGGTGATTGATTAAGTTGAGTCTCTATATCCTAATCCTTTTAAAGAGGTCAAGTAGACTTTATTCACATGTAGTAAGAAAATGCGTACTGTAAAGTGGAAATCCAGTGAAGACCTCTAGCTTTGTTTCGGTTGGTCCTTATTCACGTCCCCTTCCCCCAAACTCTTGTCGACGGACTTTAAGCTCAGCCTTTAAGGCCTGTCTCAATTGTCACTTTCCTCATGAAGTCTTTCTCAATTCCTAGAGCCAGAGAAACTCCAGAGTGTCCATGTTATCTTCAACTCTTTTTTTTTAAATCTGTATTTATTTTAGTTGTAAATGGACCTTTACTTTATCTCTGTGTGGTGTTGAGACTCAAACCCGGGGCCTTACACATGCCAGGCAAGTGCTCCACCACTGAGCCACCACCCCAACCCCTACCTCCGACTCTTAGAATGACTGTGATAGCTTTATGTGTCCACTACCAGGAATCACTTAGTAGCTGGTACACAAAAGGGCAGGAGTTGTTTATTGCAGTCAACTGAATTGAATGTGTGGCTTCTTTGGGTTGACTTAGAGTATGGTAACGTTGATATATGTGCCTGGTTTCCTTTTAAAAGAGAAATGCTGCTTTTTAAAAGTCTTTTAACTGATTTCAGGATGACAGAGATCACAGACTATGAATGGTAATCGTGATCATTATTAACCAGCATCATTAAAATAGTACATACTGATAGAATTCCTTCCTTTGCTTGCTTTTGCTGGCAGAGCGGAAAGGCTTGATAAACTAACTGGTCTTTTCCATCTTTAATATCTATGATTCCTTGAAATTTTATGTAGACAAGTGCGAGCTAATGTACACTGGAAGGAACAATTGAAACAGCTCATGCTCACTGATGGGCTCTGAATTACTCTACTTGTAAGTGCTCAGGAAAAAGATCTCGGATTCATTGTGGATGGCTCAATGGAGACATCTGCTCGCTGTGCAGCAGCAGTCAGAAGAATGAATGAGATATAATAGGCTGTATTAACTTTGAGAATGGAATAAAGAATAATGCAGAAAATAATATAGTGCACATAATTTGGCATTGAATATTTCTGTAATTACAATAAAACATTTTAATGATATACATTGATGTTATGACTTCACCTTAAAATCAAAATTCAGCATTGGGTCCTTTCATTTCAAAGAAAATAAAGCAGAAATACAAAGGATCCAGAGAAAAACAACAGACAGTCTCAAAGACATGCAAGGGGTCTGCCTGCAATGAGACTGAAAAGACAAGTTCATTCTAATCTGGGTAAAGGGGGGAAAATGACAGTGTATATAAATTCACTTAAAATTAATGAAAGTTGCAGAAAATTGCTAGAGCTGGCTTCTGATCATCCCTGGCAATGGAGGTTGGAGGTAGGCAGCATAACTGAGATCCTCGGTAACCTCCAGCCCCATTTCAGCCCTTAGCTGCAGTTCCCTTTCAGACCAAAAGTTTCAACAAATGAGTAAACCCGAGACAGCCCAGCGCAGGGTGGTGAACTGAGCAGCTCCAGAGAAGGGGGCCTGGGGTATTGGAGTGCATGTAGGATTTGCAATCGAGTGACTGAGTTCTGGTCCCCGTCCCCTGGTCATCTGCACCACCCTGTGTCGTGAGCTTGACTTCCATGACGCCCAGTTCCCACACAGAAAACAAGTGGAGGTCACGGCCTGTTGCTGGAGGAGTCTGGTCAGTCGCTGTGTGCTGGTTAGTTGAGTTGAGTGCTGGTTCAGAGTGTCTTCCACTCCATGTGCCTCCGGGGGCTATGTCCACCCTCTCCTCTCTTCAGTCGCATACTTCTTATGTCTTGGTGCGGACTTAGAAATAAATGGAATATCTCCTTCATCTCTAGGATCATCCTCGCATTCCTATCACCTTACTTCTGAAGTCTTGGGGTGGTCTCTGCTTACCTCTCTATTACTACCTGACCAGCCCATCTCCCCCGTAGCCCACTGACGGGCCCGCTGTTTCCGCACCTTCCGCCCACACTGAGGCAGGTAACTGGGGAGAGCACAGGGCAGAAAAGAGACCCGAATCCGTGCTCTCTTAACCCTGGGCTGATCTATGAAGTTTAGAAAACTGACTCACCTGGTCCTCCCCTGGGAGGAGACTCGCCCCTCCTTACTTCCCGGGGAACTTCTGACCCCTTTGGCAAGGAGCAGGACTTACCTCTTCCCGTGCACTCTCTTCCCCATAAGAGGCCATCGTGCCTGATTCTCAACACTCTATGTCAGCAACCTTAGAAACCATTCATAACCGACTTGATTCATAGTGATTTAGCTGAACAAGAGAGTTAGAGCACACAAATGACGGAACCATTCCCTGACCTTTAGCCTCGTCTCTGGAGTCTAAGGCCTCCGATTAGCACTCTGATCCTGGAGGTGCGTTCTCTCTCTCTCTCTCTCTCTCTCTCTCTCTCTCTCTCTCTCTCTCTCCATATATATAAATTATTATTATATATAATATATGTATATTTGTCTTGGTTTCTTTAAAGTGGAGCAAGATCTTAAAGACAGTTGTGGGGCAAATGAATTTTCCCAAATTAAACCATGTTTTGCAATTGGCTCTCCCATGCCTACGTCGACAGCACAGTTTTGTTGTTGTTGGTTTTAGTGACTCACTTTTGATGTCTCTCTTGTATATCCAACTTAGATCTTATAGAAACAATTTCTTTTTTGTGCCTGTATTTCTCTACTTTAAAAAAGTTTAATTAAATCATGTAATTACAATCATAAGAAGAACTAGCACAAATAGGTGTAGGAACAAACACACTGACGACTCCAGCCGAGTATGGGGATCCCAAGGCAGCCCACTACCACTAGTTGTGGCTCAACATGCCAAGGGCCTCTCATCCACACGTCGGAAAAGGGGGTGGAGACCACGGCCAAATCAGCAAAGTGTTATTGCTTGAGAAAGCTGCTGCTCAGTAAGGCTTCTGTTCCATATCTGTATTCTAGAAGATGAAGGCCTTAAAGGCCTAGCTTTGATCTTTCTCCTTAGTCCCAGAACCTAGCGTAATGACAGACCTACAGGGGGTCAAATGAACATTGACTAAGTTACTGGCTCACTGACCATACTTCTGCACACCCTCTGCTGGGGGTACCGAGCAGCAATCCACTGTCTAGAAGTTAGGCTGGGGAGGGGGGGGCGGGGGAGAGGGAGGGAGAGAGGGAGAGAGGGGGAGAGAGAGAGAGAGAGAGAGAGAGCGAGAGAGCGCACTAGCAAATGAATTTCTAATATTGCTGCAAGATTAGATGGTGTATACCATTAAATAGTTAAAAAATGTGAGGTAGCTATAAAGAGGTGGATTTTGTACTATGTAGTTAACCTGGCCAACTTCACTAACGTAAAATAACAGTGAGGCAACATGCTTGATAACATTTATAAAAGATTAGATATGTTCCTACATGAGGAAAAATCTGCACTTACAACCATGGTATCTGACTACAAAGAAGGAAAGAAAAACCTCTCTGATGACTATGTTCGGGGCCATCCAGGTCAAGAAAAAATTTCCCTTACTGATGTACCCTTGCAGCACTGAATTTATTCTGTGCTTCTCGTGGCCAAGTAACACCTTGAACCGAGCACCAGTAGAGGGAAGAACTCGAATCTGTGGCAGGTGACGGGTTTGGAAAACTGGGAGTAGAGTGTTGGTGAAGGCAGGAACCTCTCCTCATACAAAGCAGGCAGGCACGTCTGGCCTGGCGTTCATACGTGAACCTCGATCTGAACTCAAGTATACGGAGCAAGCAGAGCTGGAAGGTCCAGAATGTTTCCATGACCACAGGAAGAACGGGGAGGGAAGGAGTAGACATACTGTACACAGACCTAAGTGTGTGTAGGTGTGAGGGGGAGTTAGGAATGACCTCCTTGAGATCAGGTGAGAGTGAACATCCTCGTTCATCTGCCATCTTGGGAATCTGTCAGCCAGTTCCAGTTATGAATCCTGGAGCACCTCCCTGTTTCCCAAGAGGTCGTGAAAAGCTGCCTAGAAAAGAAGGAATGGGGCTGGGGCTGGGGCTCAGCGGTAGAGCGCTCGCCCAGCACGTGCAAGACCCTGGTTGCACCCTCAGCACCACGTACAAATAAATACATAAAATGAAGGTATTGTGTCCAACTACAACTAACAAATAAGATATTTTTAAAAAGGAAGAACAGAAACAGCATTGTACTGAGCACACTGTGTGCCCTTCGTTATGCTAATTGTTAGTACACATTAGTATCTTCCTTTGAATATGAATTGCTATTGATTTTTGTAAGGCCCACTTCAATCTGTCACCATGAAATTTGAAAAAAAACAACACTTCCAATTAAATTGTATGTATGCTATATGTGCCATCAATATTAGAATGTTTAATAGCTTCATTTCAGAGCGATTAAAATGCAAACACAAATGCATCTTAGAATCAATGAGACACGGTACCTCATTTAATCCTGCCAACAACCTTTAAACTAAGTACTAATATGGGTAGATGAAGAAAGTGAGGCTAAGGGTCATTGGGTAATTTGCATAAAGTCAAAGCACAGGTGTCAGAGCTGGGGTTTGACCCAAACTTGTCTGTCTCCACTTAAGTGCCTTCTCCATAGTCCTGTGCTGGTGATTGAAACCACTACTTGCCCAGAACTCAGGGATTCTTTAAATAATTAATTAATTAAACATATTTCACTGAAAGCATTTACCTTTGGATCTGTCTCCCAAAGATCAGGGGCAGCCATGACTTCTGAGGGGTAGAAGGAAACTTTTGGGTTCTTCTGGTCTGGTCTCCTGTCAGGTGCCTGCCTCC